CAAATTGAAGATGTTGCTTTAATACGATATGTTATAGATGGTATACCAGGCTCCGCGTTTAAAAAATCTTGCTTGTATGGGTCACAAACATTAACTGATTTTAAGAACAAATTGAAGCTTTATCAACAGATATGTGATGATGAAGAAAAGTCGCGAACGTCTAAAAAAAATTTGAAAGTAAACAAAAAATTGAATCTAGACATAAATATGACTCAAAAAATTCTGTTAACCAAACAAAGCGTAACGTAACCGATAGTCGAGGAACAATTCCTGAAATTAAACGTAATACAACCTGTTTCAACTGCGGTGAAAGCGGTCATATTTCCAAACAATGTGTTCATAAAGATAAGGGAGTCAAGTGTTTTAAATGTAAAGAATTTGGGGCACCGAAGTTTCGAATGCTCAAATACGAATTCGAAACCAGAAGTATCAACCGTGAATATTGATGTAGTCTCGAAGTTGACCAAAGAAGTAAAAATTAATGATGTATATGTAACCGCGTTAATAGACACAGGAAGTCAAACTACTTTGTTATGTAGATCGACTTTTGATAAACTGAATATCGAAGGCCTCGTGCCCGTAAGTTCAACGCTGAGTGGGTTCGGTAAATGTCAAGTAAAACCTCTAGGTTTCTTTAAAGGTAATATTAAAATTAATGATTTCCAGTGTACTGCAGATATTTGTGTTGTAGACAACAATGTAATGACACATGAAGCCATTTTAGGCTTAAACGTAATATTAAAAGGTGAAATATTAATAAATGAAAATGGGGTTACCATAAAAAGTAAGTCACAGAGTGTAGAGAAAGTAAATATTGTATCTGTTTTACCTGTTGACCTAGCTAGTAACGAAGACGAAATAAACATTGCACCTAGTGTTCCAAACTACTTTAAAGAGAGACTGTTCAACAGTTAGTTTCGAACTATATGCCACGTAAGACCAAATCTACGGACATACAGTTAAAAATTTGCGTTAAAAATAACGAACCAGTATCGCATCAACCGCGTAGATTACCGTTTGCGGAAAAGAAAATTGTTGAAACCCAAATATCCGAATGGCTAAAGTCAGGAATTATAGAACAGAGTTCTTCGGAATATTCCAGCCCATTGGTCATCGTTAAAAAGAAAGACGGGACACCAAGAGTTTGCGTTGATTATCGTCGTTTAAACAAAGTTGTCGTAAAGGATAGATTTCCCCTTCCCCTGATTGAGGATATCCTAGACCGCCTTCAAGAAGCACGTGTTTTCAGCACTATTGATCTCAAAAATGGCTTTTTTCACGTGGACGTCGAAAAGGAAAGTCGGAAGTACACATCATTTGTTACGCATGAAGGACAGTACCAGTTTTTGAAAGTGCCGTTTGGACTCTGTAACTCACCAGCTGTATTCCAGAGATTCATAAATACCATTTTCCGACCGTTAGTTAACGATGGCATCGTTTTGCCGTACATGGACGATATCATCATTTTGTCCGCCTCATACGAAGAGGGAATCGAGAGGCTGAGTCAAGTTTTAAATCTAGCGAGTGAATACGGATTGGAAATAAATTTTAAAAAATCGCCAATTCTTAAAGAAACGAATTGACTTTTTAGGTCATGTCATAGAAGAGGGTAAAATTTTCCCATCCACCTTGAAGACGCAAGCTGTTATAAATTTCCCTGAACCATCTAATTTAAAACAGATCCAAAGTTTTCTTGGGCTGACAGGGTATTTCAGAAAATTTATTAATAAATACTCTATAATTGCCAAGCCACTTAGCGACCTGCTAAAAAAGGGTAATAAGTTCGAATTCGGTGAAGAACAAAAGATCGCATTCAATCGTTTGAAATCAGCGCTAGCTGAGAAGCCTGTACTTGCAATTTATAACCCTAATTATGAAACCGAACTACACACAGACGCCAGTATAGAAGGATATGGGGCGATTCTAATGCAGAAACCCCCAGGTGATAGCAGTTTTCACCCCACTTATTTTATGAGTAGGAAAACCTCTGATGCAGAGAAAAAGTACTCAAGTTACGAGTTGGAGGTCCTCGCGATCGTAGAAGCACTGAAAAGGTTCCGTGTTTACCTTTTGGGAATTTCATTTAAGATAGTGACGGACTGTTCAGCATTTCAACGGACGATGGAAAAAAGAGATTTAGCGACGCGTGTTGCTCGTTGGGCTCTGTTGTTACAAGAATTCGATTATGTTATAGAGCATCGTAAAGGTGTTAGAATGCCACATGTAGATGCTCTAAGTAGAGCTCCTGTAAACGTCTTATGCATTTCTATTGAAAATATCTTACCTAAATTAAAACTTGCTCAAGAAAATGACACTGAAATAAAAACCATTAAGGAATTATTGAAAACCTCAAGTTATGAAAATTATTGTAATAGAAATGGCGTACTATACAAGTTTATTGACGGTAAAGAATTGATAGTCGTACCGGAAAGTATGCAGACTGAAATCATAAAAGATGCTCACGAGAAAGGGCACACCGGTATCAAACATACAGAGAAACACCTGGATGAATACTATTTCATTCCCAAACTTCGGCAGAAGATAGAAAACGTTATCGCGAATTGCGTTCATTGCATCTTAATAAATCGCAAAGCAGGGAAAAAGGAAGGATTTTTACATCCGCGATTCAAGGAGGACATTCCGTTGCATACTTATCATATAGATCACTTGGGTCCTCTGGAAAGTACCCATAAAAACTACAAGCACCTATTAGTAGTGGTCGACGCCTTTACTAAATTTACTTGGATTTATCCAACAAAATCTACGACCTCAGCCGAGGTGATAGCGAAGTTAGAGAATCAGAAGGCCATTTTTGGAAGCCCTTGTCAGATCATTTCTGATAGAGGAACGGCTTTCACATCCAGTGAGTTTTCTGACTACTGTGCTAAAGAAGATATTAAACATCATCTAATCACCACAGGCCTGCCGAGAGCAAATGGACAAGTCGAACGAATCAACCAAGTCATTATATCAGTATTAGCGAAACTGTCCTTAAAAAAACCAACCGAATGGTATAAACACACACACGAAGTTCAGAGGAACGCTTAACTCAACATATCAAAGAAGCATTAACACCACTCCGTTCGAATTACTCTTCGGTACTAAAATGAACAGTAAGGGCACCCGATCAGCTCAAAGAACTGATAGAAAGTGAGTTTCAATCTCAATTCGAGTCTCAAAGAGAAGAATTACGAAAGCAAGCCAAGAGGCAAATTTTGCAAGTCCAACAGGAAAATAAAGACATATAATGCCAAAAGAAGACAAGCACAGCCGTACAAAGTTGGTGACTTAGTGGCAATCAAAAGGACTCAATTCGGACCACACTTAAAATTAAGAGCGAAGTATTTCGGACCTTATAAGATCACGAAAGTTAAGGGTGGCAACACCTATGACGTAATAAAGGAAGGGTGCAATGAGGGGCCCATATGCACCACCACATGTGCTGAATTCCTCAAGAAATGGACGGCGCTTTAAAATTTTTCACAAATACTTATTTCTGTTATTGTATATTCTTGCTTGTTGCTTTGTTTTTTTTTTTTTTTTTTTTTTTTTTTTTTTTTTTCTGTTGCCGTGACGTCATTCTCTCTACGAGCTGCGAAGGCGCCAAGCAAAAATTAGGGGAATTACCGTTTTGAGATGATAGACAATTGACGTGAAAGCAGAGACGCTGCTTCTGTTCAAAAAGAACTTTGACGAATCATTACTTGTTTAATTCTCTTAAATGTTAAATTTATGTAATAATCGTTTGTCTAATTAAAATGTCTTTCGTTAATTAATTTGTTCATCGTTTAAAATCCCCACATTTATGTTTATCTATGCTACTTTCACCCTCCACCTCTACGAACGAGATGCAAAAGCATCTCATCTCTTTTCAGTTCGCTTCGAAATTCGGTGATGAGTAAATTGCAGTCTGTGTCAAAATCAGCGAGTTTTGTTCATGCCCAAAGAAATGGAGAAGGATGGTACCGAAACTCAGCCGACACTTAATGAAATTGTTTGAGAAAGTTTCTGTATTATTGGACTGTCCTACTGTATCATTGGAAGAATTCGTTGCAGTAGATGATGATAATGTGTATATAGCCCCAATCATGGTACACAAAAGACAGTTTGCAGCTTGTTCAAAGCTCAAAATATACCACTGATGCAGATTCCCACTATGAAAATGAAATGAATAATGCAGCTCTGTTCCCAAGTCACACGAAACGAGGAACACCATGAAAAGTATGTGCACTTATTTAGACGCACATTCCAATGGTGAAATGAATAACAAAATGGACAACATAGAACAAATTGTTGGCAATTTGATGCTAAAAAAAGACAATGCAAATAAAAATGTCAGACTGTTTTCCAAACCCTCAATAAATGTTTTGTTTTTCAAAAACTTGAAAATTTTGTATTAAATAAGGTTTTTGCGGATGTTTTTGTTTCATTGATTTTTTATTAAATACATGCATATATACATATCTTTGTAAATAAAATGTACTCTGATAAACTTAATTTCGTTGAATATATATACATATATATTTATTTATTTTTGCAATATCCTTTAACACGAAAACATATTTCAGTCCCCTCAGTTTCGTGTTAAATGATTTTCACTGTATATTACTATGAATAAACATATATATTCCCTAGCCAAATGGTTAAAACACCAAATGCATTAAGCAAATTTACACACTTGCAATCAATGAACAACAAAAGACAAAGGTTGCAAATATGATGAATATGTAATACCCATTTATAAATTTTATCACTTCTACCTAAATATGAAAAAGCAAAGGATTCGTGACCTCAACAATTAACTATTCAGATATAAATGTTGGCACAGAACTGTTAGCAAACTGATTTTTCATGAGTGCATTGAAGATTTCAGAACTAAGTAAATGTCAGCTTCTTTCCTTTGCACTATGCAAAACACAAAGAACTTGATACTTTAGTAAAAAATACTTTTTTCAAACAAAAATTTTTAAAAAAAGAAAAAAGCTACCGCATTGACATACATCTTCAACTATGGCACGGACGCTCTTGTTAGGGCAATTAATGATGTCACTCATTGGTTTGTTTAAAACCAGCCACTTAACTTTCTGAAAGCAAAATGTTGGGCCCCACAATTGTTGTCCAGGATAGAAACTGTACTTTTTAAACTCTGATGCCTGAAAAAGAGTGGGGAAAAAAGGTCCAATGTTTTATAGTATCAGCAAGGGATAAAATAAATTTTGCTCATATATAAGTACACTACAATAAAACATACTCCCATATCATTAAAAATATTTGCCATCAGTACTTAAATGTCAGAAAAATAAGATAGATTCTAAAAAATAATATGTTAAAAAACACGAGTTAAATTCTAAATAATAATATGCTAAAAACATGTCAAAATATTACTAATTAGCAAAATTTTTCCAAATATTAACTGCCACCATCTAACGCATGATTTAGTTTAATTAGCAATTTTTCTTATCACAAAAATAAGGCCATATATGGCAAATTTTTAAACATCTGCAGAAACTCAATGAAAAATATCTTTGCTAAAAAACTTTGTAAGTTTGATTGCCTTACCTGTTTGGCCATCTTATTGCCACAAACAGATTATTATCTTTAAGGAAATTATCAGCTCGAAATGTCTATTTCTATCTGTCACTGGTTTACACACAAGCATGCAACTGGTATATGTCAGTCATTATTGTTTCATTTAATCTTTCACTCTTTGGTTTCCATTGCTAGAAAAAGAAGTTCTGGCATTTCACTTCTCTTAACCCTCTACATTGCCAAGTTTTTGGCTCCAAAACTCAAATTTTTCCAAAACTACCATGAGAAAGAATAATTTTTCTGATTATAGTATAAAAATGTCTCCAGTATTTTACATCTGAATTCCTTTCTGTTTAATACACTGCCATTCTTCATATTTCAAAATTCACACACATACATATACACCAGTCATCAAAATTAACGGTGTGGTGTAGTGGTGTAATTAATTATGGCAAAGCACACTAGGGCTATCTGCCTAAGGGGAGGTATGTCTTTGTGGAGGACTTTCTAAGGGAAACTGGCTTGTATACACATGAGGAAAACCACGAAAACACCCATGCAGCCAGCCCGTTCACGGGATTCAAACCTCGGACCGAACTACCAGTGTTCAGCGACTTTACCGCTCGGCAGCTGGTGGGCTCTTTCAAAATTAAGGATAATGAAAGAAATAAAATGTAACTGATACTTAATGAAAAATTAATAGAAATTTGTACAAAAACTTTAGTTAATATAAATTACAATGTTTGGCAGTTGATTATTTGCAAAATATTGAAATTAAAATCAAATTTACAGAAAATGGAAAATGATAGAAAAATTAAGTAACCTCTTGTGGATACTTTTTTTTTTTTTTTTTTTTAATACACTATACGGTCACCTCAGACAAATATACATACCTCAAACCTTGATTTCATAGTCTTTACCAAAGTGTTGATCAAGTCTTGTGGAATAGCAAAGAAGTGCACTTTTCAGCTCCTGGAGGGTAAAAGAAAAAATTTGGTGCCCTGAAATTCAGTGCCGTAAGCCATCCCACATATACTCAATCGGGTTCACGTCAGGTCAGTAAGGTGCCAAACCATTCAAGTGATATCTTCTGTTTGCAAGTATTCTGATTCCCTACATACTCGATGAGGTCGAGCATTGTCATTCATTAGCAAAAACTTTAGGCTAACAGCCCCCTAAAGAATCAATATCTCTTCAACATATATCCGAGCAGTTACAGAACCTCCTTGAAAGATATGCAGCTTGCTGCGGCCACGTGCTACGATTCCTCCCCAAACCATTAAACCGCAGTCGTAAAAACAGGATGGGCAAAAGAGGGCAAATTACATGTTCCTTCCTATCTCCAGATCAAACCACATCTAGAATTACTCACCTGTTTAAAAGGCATCCTCTGGAAGTTGGAATGAGTGGGACACAAACCATTGGTTTTTCTCGCATACTGTCCAACCTTGTTAAGCCTTCGTGCAGCAACAGAACAAGTAATTCAAGCTCCGTGAGAGCCTGAAAGTCTAAAACTAAATCTCTTGAAGTTGTTTTACAGTTTCTTTGAACTGAAAATGACAGAAAACAGTATTCTGATTCAGTTGCTGCTCTTAATCGCCACTGTCTCATCAACCGATCCAGTGCTTACACTCACGTTTGTGAAAATTGCAACACCAAGAAGGAATCGTCATAATTGAATGCAATTTAATACACAGTTGAGTGGTAGTGGTACAAATAAATGATTAAATGTTCAAAGCAAACAAACAAGAACAAGAGATCAGAATCAGTATTTTGTGTGGCCACCACGCGCCGCAATAAGTGCTGCTACACGACGTGGCATGGAGTCAAACAAAGTTTGAATGTCTGACTGAGGAAGAGCATTCCATATCGTTTGTACGCGTACCCAAAGTTCGTCTGCAGACGCAACAGGACGAGGATCACGAGCAAGACACCGACCAATGACATCCCACACATGTTCAATTGGCGACATATCCGGGGAACACGCAGGCCAAGGAAGAAGCTGTACCTGCTGCGCTGCAAAGAAGGATTTAACAATCCGAGCAGTATGAGGGCGGGCATTGTCCTGTTGAAATACAGCGCCTGGCAAGCTTTGAAGGAAGGGAACAGCTTCGGGCTGTAGAACTTCACGGATATACCGGTTGCTGTTCAGATTGCCCACAATTCGTAGCAATTGAGATCGTCTATGATATGCTATGGCGCCCCAGACCATAACTCCGGGTGTTCGTCCACTGTGGCGTTCGATAATGCACTCCGGAAGGTGGCGTTCACCGGCATAGCGTCTGACACGAATGCGGCCATCATGGTACCACAAATTAAAGCGGGATTCGTCAGAAAACACGACATGCTGCCAATCAGCACGCCAGTCTCTATGCTGATTGGCCCATTGTAGCCGCAGGCGGCGATGGTCGTGCGTTAGGGGGATCCTGTATAAAGGAGTCCGTGCGCGCAGTCCACACTGCAGCAGACATCTACGAATTGATGAAGCACACAATGAAACACCTGTAGCTATTGACCACAGTGCTGCCAATTGTCTAGAGGAAGCTGTACGGTCCGTCCGCGCCATGCGGACCAGGTGTCTATCATCGCGAGCTGACGTCACATTTTGGGGTCCACTCCCGGATTTCCGAGTTGTCCGACACTCGTCCGTCCACTGCTTCCAAACGCGCATCACTGTGCTGCTGTTACGCTGCACACGAGAGGCTACTGCACGATACGACAATCCAGCTTCACGAAGGCCGATGATTCTCCCTCGTTCAAACTCTGTAAGTTGTTCAAATCTCGCTCTCTTTCATCGATGAGGCATAAGTACAGATTGAGTTAACGTTTACCACTAGCAGATAACCACCGATAACCATACACGCCTCGCTACAGCCGTCTATTTATTCGGATCCATCAGCCGTTCAGAGGGCGCTGCTCAGCATACGCATGCGCTACGGATTTGCAATTCTAATCATTTGCATATCATGCGCTACTTTGCATTTCCTGAAAATTTCAGCTCACTCGCGTAAGTCCTTCATGGTGTTGCAATTTTCACAAACGTGAGTGTAAAAAATATTTCCAAACTCTTTTATAAGACACTTTAAGGAATATTCAAATCTTGGTCGACATCCATCTGTGTTGACCTCTCCCACGATTCTACCAATTAATGATGCCTTTGAGCCATAACTACCGAATACTGATTATTCTCAGAAATTATGTTCATTTTAACAACACTACAGACCAGAATGCCAGCATGCATCCACTGTGCACCACATTGTCAAATCACCGAATATGCATATTTCCGATGATAAAATATGCTTGGAAGTGAAATTTTGTGTTAAATTGTATTTAATTAATATAAATAATTATAGCATGGGGCGGCAACATAGTGAGCATACTTTTTCCCATTATCCTTTAATTTTGATGGCCAGTATGTATATGTGTGTGTATATATTACTTAAAGGAATAATAACAAATACTTGGACATATATGTATGCCTTGTACATCCATACAAGACATATATGTATACCTTGCCGACAAGCGAGTTAACAGATTCAGATAATCAGAATACCAATTGACAAGAAAATATAACATAGTTTCTCTCAACAATATTTAAAATCTGTTGTATAAGTTTACAGTCTTGATAATTTCAGCATCTTCAAAATATAACATTTTCTTCAGTCAGGAAGACATCATACTATTTCTTCTGAATTTAAATCACTTACAAGCTCTTTTAAGTAACATTTCTTTTTAGGCATATCAAAATAATAACAATGAAGAGCTGAAATATTTTGCTATGACTTAGAAGAAATTTAAAATCAAACTAAAACAGGATGAATGCAATTTTGAATTCAGAGGCAGCAGCAGGAAATTTCCTGACTCTATTTAAAAAGAAATAATAATAAGTTTAGATATTAATATTATTGAGCCAGGAAACATTTAAAACAGATCCTTGACCAAAGGAACTAATTAAAAAATTAAATATTACTAATTCTAAAATATGTCAGCCTTGTGGATTCAAAAAGATTACGTTACCATTCTCACGTATCTGACAAAGATCAGTCAGCCCATGACATTCATTGTGGCAAGGAATCAAATGCACCTGTCATTGACACCTTGAGCACCATATAGGTGACAACTCAACTTTAGCTCAGTTCCACCCCCAAATTTTGAAAGAGATCACTCTAGGAAGGAGAGCAGGTCCAAGGTCTCCCACTCCTCTTTCCCTACCACAATCTCTCTAGAGGGCTTTTGGTTTGTCGCATATTTAGAGTGTCATACAGGCCCATACTCATTTAGAGTGCCCCCATCCCATACAATTTCAAACATCCATACGTGTGTATGGCTCGGGGTACTCTAAATGGGCATGGGCCTGTATGGCATGGGGGCACTCTAAATATGCGGCAAACCAAAAGCCCTCTAGAGAGATTGTGGTAGGGAAAGAGGAGTGGGAGACCTTGGACCTGATGCCATACAATTTCAAACATCCATACATGTGGGATTCAAACGCAGGCGTCTCAGTACGTTTGTCAATGTCGCTTACCATTATGCTTGTTGGACAGCTACAACAAGAGATTTAATAATAACAACAGGTTTGGGATTTGGATTGATTCAATTATGACAAAGAATACTGGGGCTACCTACCCAAAATAAGAGATGTCTGTAAATGATTTTCTCTGTATTCATGTTACATATTAGGAAAGGTTGCAAAAACGCTCAAATAGCCACTTGTTAAATAGGATTTTAACTTGGATTAAACTACCAAGTTACTTCCTAACCTTATCAATCAACAATGGGATTTTAAATATGAATTTATTTGGTTATAACAAAATGCACTGGAGCTACCTGCCTAACAGAATGGATGCCTTCATGGAGGACTTCCTCAAGAAAAATGGCTTATATTCATGCCATACATGAGGAAAACTACCAAAATGGCCAAAAAACTGCCAGCCTGTAAATTATGTCAAGTTTCTCTGAAGATCAGATGAAACATTACTCAATACAGGGCAATGACGAAATAGAAATGCTTCATGCTGACAAAACTGGGTTGTCAACTAAACAACTAAAAAAATCTTACTAAGGTAATCAAATTTATGATTCATAACATCCAATATTTTTTTCTTTTAAAAATAAATATATTATAAATTAGAAAATAACATTAAACTTTGAAACTTTTTAAAGAACTGGATTTTACAGAATCCTTAAAGTGCTTTCAAATTTTGAAATATATATAGATCTTACAAACCCTTTCTCTGCGATCCAGGATGTCATCCATATCAAATGCATCTACATCAGACATTATACACCTAATCCAATAAGAGAACGTTTTAGAATTAAAAATGCAATTTAATAACAAAATTTTGTTTTATTGAAAACTGTTAAAATATATGGAATACAAATGCGGTACTACCTAGATCCATCACAGCAACGAAGAGTAAGTTCAGTTTTAACAGTTTTTACCATGCCAACCCAAGAATCTTTAAATACAGCAACATCAGCAACAAATTCCTGCATTAAAAAGAAACAGACAAATAAAATTAAAATATACTATATTTAATAATCAACAATGTCTTTTTTTTCGCATTTTTCATCAATATCATATAACAGATTAATACATAATTTAACCCAAAAATGAAAAATTCAACTATAAATTTGAACATAGAATTATCTATCCTTAATATGCCATAAATATATCCAAATCTGCAAATTCTATTCATTCTTTTTATGGCATTACTTCAATCATAAATATGAAAGAAATACTTCTAATATAAAATTACACAGCACAGTTTTTTCTTAGGCCCAAAAGGGCTATTAGTCTCAAACCACGATTTTGCGTTGATTTACTTTAAACATCATCTACAGCTGTGCTGTTTATTTTTCATTCATGTTTGGCGCCATTCAGCAAAATGCAAGATATTTATCTTTCAAATTTAATAACTGATTGACAAATTAAGCTATTTAAAAGCAACAGATGTCGTTCTTAAGAATGAATTTTTAATCTGATTGATTTAAATAAAAATATGTTTAATTCATGATGTACCTAATGAAAAAGATTAAAATATTTTATGGAATTATGATTTAAACAAATTTAAATTCTTAAGAAATACATATAAAAGTAAAAAAGTAAAAAAAGCAAATTTAAATTCTAAAAAAAAAAAAAAGCCAAAATAATTTAAAAATAATTTAAAAATATGCAAACATGTAAAAGATTTAATTCTCGAACTAATCTACAATATCATTTAAATTCAGAAGCATAAGCAAATCAAGTGCAAAATCATCTATCCATGAAAATAAATCTACTAATTTAATAAATTAAAATTAAATTAAGCAATTTTTTTAAAAAATGCATATGTGAATGATCGTAGAGTAGGCAGGAGACAGACTTATCAAGGGGAAGTTGCCTCCAAACCTAACTCTCCAATCATTTAATTCGTGTTTCGTCATTCATGCAGGCAAGGGTAAAAGTCAAAACCAAAAGTAATTCCAATAAAGTGGTACCCTTAGAATTTAAAATTTAAGTATTAACATTTAAGAATTCAAGTTCAAAAAGGAAAATACTAATTAAGTCTTTTGAGAAACAAGCAAGTAAAGTCAAGAATTAAACTTTTTCTTAAAAAAATTAAAATTTTAAAAATTAATTTTTTATAAAATAATAAAAAAATCTAGAAACCAATGTATTTTAGAAATCCTTGTCTACAGAAACTTCCCCTACACAAATATGCATATCAATAAAAACAAACTATAAAAAGAACATACATAATCCATATAAACCCAATAAGAAATAAAAAACAAAAAGAAACAAAAGAACTAATTCACAATTTTTAAAATAAATATATATTTAAAATATAATTTCATATTTAGAAAATACTTAGATACTACATAAAAATTTTTTTAAAAAAATACTTAAAGCAAGTAAATAGTAAGTTTTAATTCTAACTTACCTACTATATGAGTGTTGGAGTCTGCAAAAGTGTTTGCGAAAGAGAAGTAAGTGTGTTCTTCAAATTATATAGATGGGCGCTTATGTAGGTAAAGTTGAGTGTCAAGCTGCTATCTTTGTTATAGTAAAAAAATTTTTTTTAATATTAATATTAATTAAATTAAATTAAATTAAAAATCCTAAAGGTAGTAATATCAATTATTTAGGGAGTTAAGTAACTGAGCCAATCAATCCCATTTTGAAAAACTTATAATTGCATTTATCTCATCACTTGTAACACATAAAATCTTAAATATGTTGGACAAACCAAAATTAGTCTTAATATTAAAATTAACAACCACAGAGCACACATCAAAAAATTTGCAACTACTAATTTTAGCACAGTTAATACAGCTGAATTAGAACATTTTCAAATACATGATTTCAAAAAAATTAATATTCAAATTTTGGACATTGTACCTGAATACAAAGTTAGATTATTTCAAGAGTCACTCTACATGCTTAAATTCAAAACCTTTACCCTTATGAACTCAATACATTCAACCAACACATTAAATTAAATTCTGAAATTCCAACTTACAGCCATTTTAAATTATTCAGTAAAAAAACATTACGAGGAACGAGAGCAGGTAACAAACATAAAAATAAACTTCTTTCAATAATAGATACAAAAAAGTTCGATAATATAAATAATTACTTTCTAACTGATAATTTCACTAAAAATATAATTACTTGGTTGCATACTTGTAAGCACAATTTCTTAAAATTACTAATAAAATTTGTAAAACAGCATTTTACAGGGCACAATATTATCAAAGACCTTATTATTGACTTTTGCAATTATAAGTTCTCTACAAATAACAAATACAATAAATATTACTGCAAAATCAATTTCCTTCATCCAAACTATGATCATATTCAGTTTAGCAAAATTTTCAGAAAAAGTCAACAACTTTTTCCAGCTACCAAAGTACAGATCTCACCAGCTTTCAAGTATCAAAAACCTCTTAGTAAATTGCTAATTAACCACCATGAATTAGCTACTACAGCCCATTGATACTGTAAAGAGCTTTAATACAAAGATTTCATAGATAAATTTCATCAACATATTATAACAGGCAATTTAGCAATAGTTCAAAACCAACATTTAAGAATTTTAATGGAAAAAGGTACCAAATTTTAGACCAGTATTAAAAATTAACAAACATCACAGTTTTAAAAGTTTCGTAAAAAATATAGACGAATTTATAGTTAAAACTAGTTTCAAATTAAATATTCCAAATTCTACCTTTATGGCATGGAAACATGCAGTATTAGAAGAATTCAAGCAAAAAATTCGAAGAATTGAATTTAATATCCATTTACAGTGGAATATTCTCATATCTCTTTTACAGGATTTAAAACAAAAGTTCATAATTACAAAAATTGACAAAGCCAATAATAACTTTAGCATAATATGAAAATTTTTTTATGTCTCATTAATTAATACTGAACTCAATAATGCCATTACTTACAAACTCGCCAATCTACAAGAAATGTTATTACAAAAAAGCTAAAAGCATTTCATAAGAAACTGCAAATTTCACAACCATCTAACTACAATAGATTAGCAAATCTATATGCTCTCCCAAAATTTCATAAATCACCACTCAAATTTAGATTTATTGCTAATGGTACAAATAATTATAAAAAGAATATAGATTACATATTTGCAATTATACTTAAGAAAATCTGTAATTTAATCCAATATCTCGTTAACAAACAACACAATTATAGTTGGATTATTTATAATAATGCTCCAGTTTTCAGCAGTTTTAAAAGTTTAACAATCAAGAACATTAAATGTTATGACTTTGAAAACCTTTATACTTCTCTACCATTAGAAGAAATTTTTACTAGTTTAATGCAACTCCCACAACTTTTTCCTGACATACTTGACATCCTTTGTATTGAAAGATGGAATACTTATCTGAATTATGCATTATTTTATAACTACATTAAATACAATAATAAGATCTTTCAGCAAGTAGAGGAATTCCTATGGGAGCAAACAGTTCTACACAAATTTGCAACCTATTTCTTTTTACATTTGAATATAAATTCCAACTCAGTTTAAATAAAATGAATTAAAGCTATTTGCTCATACTTTTAGATACATAGATGATATTATAACTTTCAATAATAATTCTACTTTTGAGAAAATTCAAAATTTACCCAAATAGTTTAAACTTAATAAAACGAATACGAATCAAGATACTATTGAATTCCTAGACCTGCAAATTATTAAACACAACAAAATTAAATTATTTGATAAAAGAAGGAATTTCCATTTTCCTACTATTAAACTAATTAATTGGAACTCTAATATCTCTAGAAAAGTAATAGAAAACACGTTTCATAGCCAAATTATCAGAATAAAAAATATATGTACTGAAAATGACGATTTAAAGGAAGAAATCATAAAACTAATTAATGTACAAGTTGATAACCAAGTACCACCAAAATTTATTAATTTATATATTAAAAAGGCAGGCCTTTATAATTTTTTGGCTCTTTTGGATATGATAACATTACCTTAAACCTTAACTGGAGGGTAATGAAGGATATAAAAGAGTAGAGAAATTATTGTAAATTTTTATTGTAAATATTTTGTAAATATGTATATTTAATCAATACTGGATTCTTTCCTTTACTAATAAAGGGCCCAACTCTTTTCAAAAAGTCTCAATTATAGCCTGAATTGAGTGAAGATTTTAATCTTCTTCTTCTAATTTTCCATACTTAAGCCAGTATTTAGTTAAGTTTTGATATACCAATTAAATCAAGTTCATTAAACTTTTGATATTTTCTTTCATCAAAAATTTAAGTTTTATTTAACTTCCTAAAGGAATTTTTGAGAAATTTTCTGGGAATTTTTAGAGGTTTTTTAAGGACTTCATTTCAAAAAAAGTTTGGGAAATTTTACTTTAAAACTTTAATATTTAAAACATTTCAGTTTTTTCTTAATTACTTTAATTTTTTGCAATTTTCACAAAAAATATCTTTCACTTAATTTTTTAACAATTTTTCAACAGAACACACATTTCAAATTACAAACAGTTTACATTTTTTTCACATAGCACTTCACTTGAATTTCCTTCAAGTAAACATACATCTCTTGATTGGCTCAGTTACTTAACTCCCTAAATAATTGATATTACTACCTTTAGGATTTTTAATTTAATTTAATTAATATTAATATTAATATTTACAAAAAATTTTTTACTATAACAAAGATAGCAGCTTGACACTCAACTTTACCTACATAAGCGCCATCTATATAATTTGAAGAACACACTTACTTCTCTTTCGCAACACTTTTGCAGACTCCAACACTCATATAGTAGGTAAGTTAGAATTAAAACTTACTATTTACTTGCTTTAAGTATTTTTTTAAAAAAATTTTATGTAGTATCTAAGTATTTTCTAATATGAAATTATATTTTTAAATATATATTTATTTTAAAAATTGTGAATTAGTTCTTTTTGTTTCTTTTTGTGTTTTTATTCTTATTGGTTTATATGGATTATGTATAGTTCTTTTATAGTTTGTTTTTATTGATATGCATATTTGTGTTAGGGGAAGTTTCTGTAGACAAGGATTTCTAAAATACATTGGTTCTAGATTTTTTATTATTTTATAAAAAAAATTAATTTTTAAAAATTTAATTTTTTAAGAAAAAGTTTAATTCTTGACTTTACTTGTTTCTCAAAAGACTTCAATTAGTATTTTCTTTTTTGAACTTTAATTCTTAAATGTTAATACTTAAATTTTAAATTCTAAGGGTACCAACTTTATTGGAATTACTTTTGGTTTTGACTTTTACCCTTGCCTGCATGAATGACGAAACACGAATTGAATGATTGGAGAGTTAGGTTTGGAGGCAACTTCCCTTGATAAGTCTGTCTCCTGCCTACTCTACGATCATTCACATATGCATATTTTAAAAAAAATTGTTTAATTTAATTTTAATTTATTAAATTAGTAGATTTATTTTCATGGATAGATTTGCACTTGATTTGCTTATGCTTCTGAATTTAAATGATATTGTAGATTAGTTCGAGAATTAAATCTTTTACATATTTGCATATTTTTAAATTATTTTACATTATTTTGGCTTTTTTCTTTTTTTAGAATTTAAATTTGCTTTTTTACTTTTTTACTTTTATACGTATTTGTTAAGAATTTAAATTTGTTTAAATTTAAATTTCATTCCTTGCAGCAATGGCGCAAAGAATATTTAATTAAATATGTATTTAAATTTAATTTTTTAAATTAAACTCAATTTATTCTTATGAAACAATTATGGAATTATGATATATAATTTTTTCCTTTTTAAATATACAGGAGATTTATAATGTTCCCCTCTTGGTCTAAATGCATATTCTTCCAGTATCCTATAAATAGTTCATTGTTCCACCTGGGCCATTTCTACTGACAATCTTTACTGGTAAAGTAAACCATATTAAACTTTAAAAGAATCCTTCTAGATGATAATTAAAATCTGAACCCTTTTAAATTCTTTTTAGTACAAGCATTTCAACATACAGCACTAAAATTTAATAAACACTTCAATAAATTTTCTTCTTCTGGGCCATACTATTTAAGAAAGTTAAAAATTAATTTAACCACTTCAATTTTAGCAAAAAATTATTTAAATTTTTTTAACTATTTCAAAATCTAATTTTCAAGTACTAAATTAGTTTTCCTTACAACTTTCTATACTTACTAAAATCCATCAATTTTAGCTTGTAACTTTAATTACAATTCTCAATATTTAACAACCCTGAATTACATCGTCTTCATTATTTTATTTTTCTAAATCAGAGGCTCAAAAGTATTAATATTACTATAATTATGAAGTTCAAATAAATAAGAGTACTAAACCTTGTGAAAAAAAGAAAAGTGTTTGTGCTACATCCCTCCAATGCAACAAGCCTCAAATTATTATAAATAATATCAAACTTAGTCTCTGAAAATTATATAATTTAATGTTTAACACTGATTAGAGTTATGAAAATGTACTGTTTTATACTTTCTATACTAGCTGCTAACACGGCTGCCATTAAAATTATCATTATAAAAAAGAAAAAAATCTATACTGTTTTTAATGAGTCCAACTAACATAATTTTGTGGTTCCTGCTAGTAATTAATAAAAATTGGGATGAAGAAATGTGTTTATAGCTTTCACATTGCCTAGTTTGTTGATCAATAACAGACCAATTAAACTTGAACGAATAATTAAATATCTTACATTTTGTTGGATGGCAATAATACTGGCAGGTGAAAGATAAAAATATTTTATTTTAGGAAGTGGCAAGACACTTCTCTAAAATTGCTGCATTTGTTGATTAAATCTGAAAGATAAAATGCCAACACAAGTTTTAAATTGCTGAGTTTTCTGATTAAATTTGATACAGAAATATCTTGTGCTTTGTTGAATGGCAACACACTACTTTAAACTGATAAGTCAGATTCAATTAATTCTTTAAATTGATATATATCAAAATTTCATTAACTTCACACAAAATATAATTTTTTTTAAAAAAATTCAAAATTCAGGTTTAAAGGTTCACATATTCAATGGAAGACTTGTAGGGTTTATATTTATTTTAACTAACATTTATTTTAAGCTATCTTTCCTGTCAAGCCTTTACTTTACCCTAGAATTGCCAATGCTAGAGTATGTAAATTGTAGTAGAGCGTGCAGTATATTCAAATTTAGCAGAAGTAAGTTGAGTTTAAATAGAAGGAAAAGAAAAGGATCGAAAATGAAAACATTATCGAGTGTTAAGAAAGTGTAAATCATTATGTATTTGGAATATACTGATACTTATTCCTTCCAGATGGCTGGAAGGAAGAAAAAAAGATTGATTGCTGAAGACCAAATACGGCAGAGAAGGATCCTGTAAGAAGATATTGGTAATTTAACAGTCTACAGAAATGATTGTAATTGTGTTAGGCAAACAGTTTGTTTTATGTAAACGGGGCTCTTGAGTCTTAGGTTAGAATATGGAAACTTTTCAACAGGTCGTTTCTAGGACCTGCTGCAAAGTTTACCAAATTCTGGCAGCAGCAAATATAGGGTTTATATTTATTTTAACTAACATTCATTTTAAGTTTAAGCTATCTTTCCTGTCAAGCCTTCACTTTCCCCTAGAATTGCCAATGCTAGAGTATGTAAATTGTAGTAGAGCACGCAGTACATTCAAATTTAGCAGAAGTAAGTTGAGTTTAAATAGAAGGAAAACGAGATTGTAGGTGTGCTTCTTGAATCGCGAATGTGAAGGTTGCTAGGTAGAAATTTAATAGCCGCACGTTTCGGCCTGTGTGCCTATCTCGACAGTTTGCTGAATCTTTCAACTGCTTAATTAGTAAGCTCGCTGAATCTCAGCTGTATTTTAGAACGCGGTTAGGTTAGTTAATATCTCAGAGCCTCGTAGGTAGTGATCTAGCTATTTATTCATCCTGTCATTATTTTTTAGTTTTACATTTCTGTTTCTGTTAAACTGCTGGGTTGGCGTAGTTTGTGAGCGTCAAGTGGACGCAGCTGTTATTTTTAAAGTGGAATAAAAAGGGCTTTAAACCCTTCTTACATGTTTGTGTAAATTTACATTTCGTAGCAGTCACTACCACAGTTGCTGACAAGTTGGGGCCACACGTTACTACAGACTGATCAAAATTTGGTGGCTCTAGGTGCTACTGTTTTCGCACAGTGCAAGGAACGTACATACATACATATTCTTCATTATTAAATAATATACTTAATACTTGAATGTGACAAATTTCAAAAAACTAAGTATGAAATCTAGAATTTTACTAATTTTACCTCCATTGGGATTAAGTCTTTGCTATCAACTCCAACAACAACCTGTTTGGTACCAACAACTTGAACATCAGCTTTCACAACTGTGTATCTACAGTAACCTAACTGTGTATCCTTTCCTTTAACAATTTTTCTAACAACATCCCCAGGCATTAAAGATCGATCACATAATTTAACCTAAAAATGAAAAAAAAAAAAAAAAAATACATTAAATTGTAAATTTAAGCATACACAATTCCAAATTTCTAACAATTTTATCTTACTTTTAATAAAACTATTAAAATGAATGCTATAAAAAAGAGAAAGTTAAAAAACATGACAATACTGACATGCAAACACTGCATTAGAAGAGTGAACTACACAGTACAGGTACTTGCATATTAATGCAAACACCTTTGTAGAAGCTGCCGAATAAGCTAATGAAAATGTGTCAAATTCTGTCATCCATACACATAACATATTCTTCATGCTACTATAAGTACAATAATTCTTCAGTTATAACATGAACATCATCATTTCCACATGCATTCTTTCTGCTGTATTCCAAGTTAAAATGTTTTTAATATGCCAGTGGTATTCAGTCTATAGGTTGTGACCCCATACACTGGAGTTGCAAGGTGGATGAAAAAATTTTAAATAAATTTTAAAGAATATAAAAAACATACTCATCAAACTTTGAGAAAAAATTTTAGTTCTTAAGTGAAATTTTATTAAATTCTCAATAGATACTCTATTTTTAAAATGACTTCAAAGAAATTGGCTCTGTCTCTTTAAAACTGTTCTAAAATCTAATTTAGTCTGGCTATGCCTTGGACAATGTCATGTACTGTCTGTCTATCAAAAGAACAGCTCTCGACAGATAGTATGCAGCTTTCTGTTGCCTTAGCCCTAACCTATTTTTCGCAACGATGTCTAAGAATTGTTTTTCTGTCTGTTATCTTGATGTACTTAATAACAAACTGAATTTCTCTTTCCACGGCCAACATTCACAAAAAAACAAATAACAATTAAACATTCACTAGGCTCACCCCTACTCTAAATATATTAACCCTGTTGCTACCAAGCCCACATGCTAGATATACAGGTTATGACAAAAGGTCATGTCCAAATGGTGCATATGGTTGTGTCAGGTAATGAGGAATTGGAATTACCAGTGAATTGGGGATCTGAAATGTAATTGCAATCTGCTAGAGGATAAGTGCCAGCAGAGGCAAGTGCGGGCAGTCGGATGAGTCGAAATGCGGACATTGCAGGGAAAAGATGAACCAGTACGACAATGCAAAACTGATAGACATGCATTACATGTGCAAAACTTATAGACATGCATTACGCTGTGGATGGCAATGGACACGCTGGTATGCATGTATTGACAACAGTTCCCAAACCGACATAACCCTAACCATAGGCTTAAGACAATTACACTGCCAATTGCAGGAAGCAGAATCATTCAGAATCAGCAGCCGCATTGGCCAGCAACATACAATATGGATATTGGATGTCAAGAACACTGTATTAGATGCAATGAAACAGAATCCACATACAAGTATCCGCACCGTTGAAGACAACCCAGATGTTGATCGCTGCTCCATTATGCGAATTCTGTGAGAACATCACCAACATCCATACCACATACAACAGATGCAGGCACTCAGCAAGATGGATTATCCCCAAAATGTGGCATTCTCATGTTGGTATTTACAGGCAAGGATTGCAGACCTACAATTTCCATCACAGATACTGTTTACCAATGAAGATACCTTTTCCCAAGATGGTGTCCTCAACAAGCACGATATGCATGTGTTTGACTGTATATCCCAAAGTCACATGATCACACAGCCACTAACAGTGTTTCAGCATTAACACCTGGACTGGAATTATTGGTGGCATGTTAATCGGTCCATACGTAATGCTTTAACGCTTGGACGTAGTTTCATACGCCACTTTTTTTTAAGAAGTGTTGTTAGTGGATGTTCCCACAATGGCACACCTCAATATGTGGTTCTAGCATGATGGGGTTTCCTCACATTTCCACAAGAATGTATGTCAGTTCCTTGACTTGACACACCCAGATCGCTGGATTGGCAGAGGCAGCTCTGTACTGTGGTCACTGCAATCCCTGGACTTAACATCATGGATCTCTACATCTGGGGATACTTTTAAGTGTCTTGTGTATGAAACACCCATTAAATTGGACATGGACCTCATGGCATATGTCGTTGAAGCGGCAGCAGCTGTCCAGGAAATTCCTGGCCAATTCAAACAATTTCGAAAAATTTGTGCGCCACTGATGGGAAGAATCATTTGTATTTGGTCCTTTTTTGCTGTAAAATAAAGTTTTTTTACACCGTTTGTTATCTTTTCTTTCTGCGATGGTCACAATACAATTTCATCGTCACGATCACATTTCCTACCCCCTGTTGCTAAGTAGTTTTGATTCCTCATGACCTGACACAACCACATGTGCCATTTGGACATGATCCTTTGTGACACCCTGTGTAGTACTTTATATGATATCAAGAGCCCTTTTCCTTGTAGACAGTGGTAACCTTTTCCTTGTAGACAGTGGTAACATCACGTTTACTTTCAAAGTATATGAGCATAAAAAATTTGGCTGGATAACTGAAAAAAGAGACAATGAAGGAGAAAATGACAAGAAGGTGCTTTGATTTCTGCTAGTTTAAATTCTGACTCTACAGAATCAAGACACATAACTGTAAAAGCAAATATACAAGTTTGTAAGTTTGACAATGAGTTTATAAAATATGGTTTTGCATGTACTGAAGATGATAAACCAAGAGCTAGATGCCTTCTCTCCCTAGCAGTACTGCCAAGCTAATCACAGCATCGAAACCAAATAAACTGCACAAGCATCTATACACTAAAAACTCAGAATCAAAAGATAAAAACCATTTAACATTTTTCTGGAAAAAAAAAAAAAAAAAACATTTTAAATGCAAGCAAAACTTTAGGTCTACTTTTGCTGATATTAACAAAAAAAAAAAAAAAAACATTAGAGTGTTCTTTCCCTATATTGTAGAGATTTAAATCTGGCAAGATGTACACAATTTCTGAAGGGTTAATTGTTAAGCAGTCCAGTATATAGTAGGCATTACGTTTGGTGAAAAGGAAAAGAACAGATATATCACATACCACTGTCTGATACAATATTTGGTTGCAGAATATAGAAATAGCACATAATGTGCAAAGCAAATTTATAATCAGAATTAAAAAAAAGTAAATTTTTCAGTCTTCATTTGGACGAATCCACAGATTACCAAAACGCTGCACAACTAATTTCTTTTGCAAAATATGAATACACAGACTAAAGAGAAGATATATTTAAATTGGTAAATTCTTGCATCACAAGAAATAACATTACTTGAGAAAACTGTGTAGAAACATGCAGGGATGGAGCTCATTTAAGATATCCCGATCAAAAAGTATCATGATTTATTTATAAAAACCAATGGATTCTGGAACACAACAAAGACAATAGGAATTAAAATGGTAATGTTGCTTGACTGAAGACCTTTTATGAGCATAGTTGTCTGAAGAATAGTTGCCAGACATTAGTGCATTCTGAAAATTTGGGGATTTCTACAAAGATGGTTATGACAATAGTTAAGTAGCATTCTTCATCATAAACTCAATTTTAAAATAGGCACATTGGAATTTGCTTACCCATTTCTTTTCTTTCTTTCTTATCTTTTGAGGTCATTCATTCGAAGATCTGTCCTAGCCTTTAGAACAATGGTATGCTGAACTGACAAGCGATAAGGGGAACAATATGCGTATGGGTTAAATGCTTGAGGGAGTAAATATTCATGCAAAAAGGGTGAATTGTATTCAATGCAATTGTCCAAAAGAATGCTATTGTAGAGTTTTGAGTAAAAGAGAATATAATTTGCAGCAAGAATGCACTTCCAACATGAATGAATTTATCGAATTAAGAGTTAGATGTTTTCTCTGGCTTTAACAAATCGCATTTGCTTTAGTTGAAATACAGTTGATCTAGTGTTCCTTTCAGTAGTAAATATGGCTCCTGTGAAAAGAAACAAACACAGTGCTGGTTCAAATGAGAAGTCATTCATTTCTTGAAAGAAAATGGAAATTGTGCTGTAGCAAGGATGTTTGGTGTTAGTGAAATTTCCATAAGTGAGTGGAAGAAAAATGAAATCACAATAATTAATATGCCAAAAAAGAAATGTGCTTTGCATAAAGGAGTAACAAAATGCCCTTTTTTAGAAGAAAGGGTTGCAAACTAGGTCCTAGAAAAGCATCAGAATGGATTAATTGTAACAAGAAACAGTATACATTTATTTGCTTTAAAGTGGGCCCAAAAGAACATAAATGATAATGAAAACTTTAAAGCAACTTTGAGTTGATGTAGTAGATTTATGGCATGGAATAATTTTGTTTTGCAAAAGCTTTCGAGAGATTTGGATAATAAATTGATTAGTTTATAGAAGTTTGTTACTGATCTATGAAAGCAAAAAAAGTAGTTACTCTCATATATTGGAAATATGGATGAAACTCCAGGAATGTTTCAGATGATAGGAAATAAAACAACTGATGTGAAAGGAACAAAAAGGGTTAACATAAAAACAAGTAGCCACGAAAGATCTTGCTTCACAGCAGTGCTTCCCTTCTTAGCAGACTGTTCAAAATTAAAACCCATGATTATTTTTAAACAAAAGATGATTCCAAAATGTAAATTTCCCAAATGGTGTTTTCATTCAGGTCCAGGAGAAAGGGTGAATGGATGAAAATGATGTGAAATTGTGGATGAGAAATGGTTGGCAATAATGTTCTTTTGCCTTAACCTGTTACCACCCAGTGATCTATTTATAGATCATCTACTTTTTGAATGGCTACTGAGAACAATATCTTTTATTTCCTCCTTCTTGCCATTGACTGATTTCCTTACACATGTGGCCACACCTCCAAAAGGTGTTTTGAAATATTCTTTTCCAGATCAGTCCAGCAGTTAGCATCTAAAGTTAGCCAAGTGATGCTTCATAACGCAGCTTTTGATTTTGTATCCAAAAGCAAAAATTTTAAAGTAAATTATACTTTTGTTACATTTTCTACATTTTTAATACAACTTTAATTGTTCTGCATTATTTAGATTAGAAAAATAACTGTTCTTATAATTAAATTTTTAGCTTAAACATGAT